ATTTATTTTTAAATGATTTTTTTTTATAATATTATAATTTAATTGTAATCTTTAAATATTTTTAAATTAAATTTTGATATTGTAATAAAAAAAGTAATTGAGATTAATAAATTTTGTGTACGTGTTCAGATATAGATACATGTTCAGCCACTGTTTACCTTATATGTGTACATGTATATATATGTATTTATGTAAAAAATGTTGCATAAAATAATATATTTTTAAATTTTGAATAAAACAAAAATTTATTAACGATTCTTAAATTTATTAATAACCACAATTTTACAAATAAAAAGAGGTATTTTTATAGGAATATTTAGAGTAATATCTTAGCAAAGCGATAACGATCTCTATTTTTAACATTAATTAAGAGAACTCTCTAAATTTTCTGAAGTGACTTTTCACTCTTGTAGAGTGAATCTAAATCTAAAAGAGTGAAAATACTGCCACTCAAGTAGCCGAGTGGCAGTATTTTCAATCTTTTGAAGTGAGATTTACTCCAGAAAATTTAGAGAGAAGGCAAATGAGTCTAGTGTAAAATTTTTTTAATTTGTTCCCAAGAAATTAGTATGTTACTAGTCGGAAATCACTTCCACAAATAAGTTTTCTTCAAATTTTTCCTAAACAAATTGAAATTTACTACGAACATTCATCGCGAACTATCTCCCGGAATGCACTCCCGGGGGGTAATCTCAGTCGAGACCTTGAAATAAGGGCGGCGGGAAAGCCGCCGAGGGCCCCAACTTACCAGCGTAACGAGCAGCGCGTTGAACACACCGATCACGCCGGCGGCCGTTATCACTTGCAGGAATTGCGTGGTCATGACGACCTCGTACATTGGCGACGTGCCACTCTCAAAAGGTAAATCTATCTTGACGATAAGTTCACGATTGGCAGGATCAGCGGCGTCGTCGCTGCGCAGGGCGACGACGCCGATGCAGTAGAACAGCACGGCCGACGAGTGCAGGCCGATAATCAAATTGGAGAAACGATGCGACAGATTGGCCACGCTACTCATGCTGTACGAGGCGTCCCCGCATTCCTCCCAGTCCGTCGCGATGCTTGTTAACACGTCGCTGAATATTCTAGGAAAAATCGATTTCATGCAGCGCCGCCAGAGCGAAATGTTTCCCCCTCGAAGACTATGATTAGGAAACTATCTGTCTATGTGCGGAATGATGGACAGGGTGGGTCGAAAGATGCAACGGTAGATATCGATATCATTGTTGCTAATAACGATATTTCCCGATGTAAAAACGATTACGATAAGAAACGTGAAGGGACGTACTAAAATCTATTATTTACAAATTGCTGATGGCGTATACTGAGAAAGAAAAGAAACGTGCATCGTTTACCGAAACAGTGGCTTCTTAATGTATTTGTGAAGTTTCGTCATTGCAAAAAAAAAAATACAATCATTAAATCTCTACTGTTTTGATATGATGCAGTGTTAATTACTATGTTAATTACTATGATTACAATGATAATTACGGATGTGAATTGCTCCGTATTATCGAACGTTTGTATTCGACTTATACGGCTGATTAAGATCATGGATTGCAAGCAACGACGTACCTACCGTTGTTTCGTCCAGAAAACAATTAACTTGACACACAACAGACTGAACGTCAAGCATGAACTTAGGCTATCCATCAGCAGTGAGATGTCATCGGAGTTAAGATGCATCACTACGTAACGATACTGAAAGATCTGCACGGTTATCATCATCGTGGTCCAGAAAAGTCGGTTGACGAACACGTAGGGCACACCTGGCCAGATGCCGACGGCCCGAAGTCCGATCTCGACCGATCGGGTAATTGTATTAGTAGACATTATTTGACGAAGGTCAATCTTTGGTTGATCGATTAACGCGAACATCTTACATAATCAACGATAAGAGGAAACGAGAGTAGATCGTAATGTTCTTCTTGCAAGAATCTTTTCGTTCAAAGAAAGTGAGAGATATACTTGTTTAAAATTATAAACTTTCAATTCGAGAATCAGATAACGATTTGTTATTCGTGATATTGTAACTTTTTTACGAAAAACGTGTTAATCGGCAAGAATAGGGAAGGTTCTGTACCGACGGGAATTAATGAAACGGATCCACAATGGTCGTAGTTGACGCAGTTAACCGAAGCGCGCACGATAAGGAACATCAGCGTTGAACGCGATCGTGGAACAGATTTATGAACGATGAGAGGCACGAGACGCGCACCTGTAGACGTTGCGGATGGACTGAAGGATGCCGGAGGGTCACGAGCCCTATACCGTCGTCCACCGTCGACCAGGCAGGGGGCAGCTCATTAAATATTTGCATCGCGTACGATAAAATTGTAGCGCGCATCGTCGACGATCGCCAATTTTACGGATGGAAGGAAAACCGAGAGGACCGTTCTTTCGCTCTACGCGCCGAACGGTGCGGTGCCGTGCAATTTTCGTTAAAAATGTACGATCATGCAGGACGGAGGTTGCCGGGATGTGCAGCCCGGTTTATAGTACGTCGAAAAATCATGCGCACTGATCTAAGGAAAAACGAAGAAGTTTCCGAAGGGTCGTGCCGGGAAGGAAGGAATGGTCACGGGGATTCGTGGAAATACAGAATTATATTATGGCAATTTTTTTTATATCGAGATGCCATACCGCAGCTTAAAGGCCACATAACTCGATATCATTTCGTTTACCTATTTTATTGCTAATAAGTTATACTATCTTGGTATATATATTCGAAAAAATATATTGTGTGTTATGCGATCATCTAATTAGTGAGTTTATAAATTATAAATACATACTTTAGAACTGTCAATTAAAAGTCAAAGAGATGAAACGTGATGTTCATCGAATCACTAATAACACCGATAAGTATGATTCTGTAAAATTTATGATTTATAACAACGCGTCAGAATTTAATACATTTGTTATTATGCATACTCAAAATATTGTTGTGAGAATGTAATATTTATTAAGCGTAATAAAAATAGCTATATAAGAAAATATAAACCTGAAAGATCTATAATTGCGGCAAATGTTAAGTATAACCAGATGAATTATCTCATATACTGTGTACGAATCTTACTCTTGCGAAGCATTCTAAAGAGATCCATTTCCTGATTGAGCGTTAGTTGTATCTGCGATTTCAAAACAATATCACGAATAACAGAATGTGTTCGTACTAGATCCAGATCTAACAGTTTTTCTCTGTAAAGGTAAAAATAATGAAGAAATTTGTATTATTTGACATTCCTAATGATCAATAAAAAAACGTAAATTGAACAATAAAGCGAATCATTATATTGATTAATTAACGGTTTTTTTATTGTATATTACAGAATCTACATATGTATATATGTTACTATATGTGTTACTATATATATGTACTTCTCAAAAATTTTATTGTATTTTATCTTTCTTTATTAATATTATTATAAAGACTTATAGAACAGTTTAAGAATTGTCTATCGATAGTGCTTACCGTTTTAGTTTTCGCTAACCTGGTTTGTTTGACATTTCTGCGCATAATAAAACACGAATGCCTCGAGATTTGTTACGTTGTTAAACGGAAAAGCTCTCACTATTTTTCCCGTCGCATCGGGACTGTCGAATGCCTGCATCAAAATATGATTTGATGAAACTATGAATAATTTATTGACGCAAAATTTGATGTTTATGCAATGCATATCGTGAAGTAATTAATTAATTACGCATGATGCAAACACGTAATTAACGGCAACTGATTTTGCGGATTAAAATATCTATTTTTATTTAATTACACTATTTAACGCTTGTTATGACTAAAAATCCTAATAAGCAAATTATCATAGTGTTACAGGTTTTTGTTTAGCCACTCGTATTTTTTTGAATAAAAATATTTTTTATTCACTTTTATTACAAATGATGCATTCATTAAAATTGTGTATTTGTTGTTAATTACTTGTGCATTTGTAACTTACCAAAGATAACAGTAAAATGTTTCAAATCGAAATTCCAGTCGTACATGAAATCATGCGTCAATTTTATGATTAACACAACTTCGTACATGTGTTTATGTGTATCTGTGTGATATCTATAAGGAAAATTTAATTTTATGTATGCATGTATAGAACAATTCGAGTATGACATTTTATTGACATCATAATAACTTGACATTAATAAAAATTTCTAGTGCTTTAAGACGCTACACTGAAACAGTCTATCAAGTTGAATATGTATTGAAATAATACTATGTTAAGAGATTAATAGCGACAGAATTTTGAACAATTATCATTGTGATAATCTAAAATATTCTACACAGTGTAACATGATATGTCTGACTACATCTTAGAGCATAAATTTTGTTATACGATTAATTGTACTTTTACAATCATGACCTCGTAGGTATATATTTTTACTGTCGCTCGTGTACATCAAAATACATATGCATTTAGAATAACAAAGAATAGCTCTCGAAAACATTAAAAAATATAGTTTCGCTGAATATATATATTTTTTTGTCAACCACAAATCGATGTTATTGTATCAAATATCCAGAAATCTGGGAGGTTGTAGGAGGTCATTACACAGGTGTACCCCTAGGCCAACGGCCAATAGGAATAGCACATTAAATATTTTTATCATACCATGACCACAAACGCATTCGTCCTGGTGGTGCGTTCCTTCCCACTTTGATAAAAGACAGGTATAGGCAGAATTATTTCTCCCTCCTGCGTGCACCGCTGACGTGATCGCAAATTGTTTGCCTTAAATATGCAACGACACACGCGGTACGTAGGCGGAGCAACGTATGTCTGATGGCAAATCGCGTTCTGAGGGGATCCTTCGAAAAGTTTTTAAAACCTAGAGGGTGTAGAGACCTCGACGAAGAAACAGAAAATTGTGCGGTGCTATGAGAACACAGGTGTGCTTTTTGTGTACGTTATATCTGAATGTGCATTGGTGTTGTAGCAATATTTGACGAGAGATTAATTAAGCCTACGGATATCGATTGACGAATATAAAAGTAAGTAGTTTGTTATAGAATGTGAAACTGGGGCATTTATATATGTCGCACAAATACGATTTGACAGTGTCAATATTGAAGAGATATTTATTTGAGAAATATTGATCTCTTTCGAATTTGCTTTATCTAAACTTTAACTATGTGAACGTCATATCTCAGAGTTTCACATCCGCGTAGATCAAGTTTTACATCTTGCTCTTTAAATTGCTCCAAATGTATTTGGAAAACGGTCTATATTGCGTGTGTTTTACAAGTATCAGTTGAAAAGATCGAGATGAGATGATGGACGTGACGTTCATTGCATCGCTAACATTACTGATAAATACGATACCGAAGCATTCATGATCTATAACAATGTCATTTTTTGTTTGTATTACAAATAAGTTTATTATGGATTTTGAATTATTGCAAACAAGTACATGTCGCAAAAATTCAAAATCAATTATGTGAAAAAAATTTTACATGAGTAAATTAATTCTGAGAAAAGTAAATATTGCATAACAAGTATTATATATATATATATATATATGCAAATAATGTGCAAAATTAGTTCTTACATTTGCAAAATATTCTAAGGAAAGATCCGCCATTTTTCCAACAGTAAGCGTTAATTGCTTTTGCGATCTTAATATTATAAACGATAAGATACGAATGTTCTCAGGTTTCGAATTATACCATGCGGTATTGTACGCTGCATTTCCGACCGCTTTACTCTGATAGATGGAAATAATAAGAAAGAATTTCAATTCTTTTCGTGAATATTTTTGATTATAATATTTAATTCCTTTTTTCAATATTTTGACACGAAATTGGAATTTGGAATTATTTATCATTTTATCAATATTATAAACATCATTCTGCCACTAACCTTATTGTTCAAGTATTCTCCAGCAAAGCAGAACACAAATGCTTCTAGATTCGTTATAGTATAAAATAGGAGGGATCTTATTATTTGCTCTGTCGCGTCGGGTGTACCGATTGCCTGTAAATAAAAAAAAATCTTTATTTTGTTGCTCAGTTATAAATACCTCCACTTTACATATCTCATCTGTATTGTAAAATACGAAGAAATTATTTAACATAGTGCGTTTATTAGCAAAAGTAAATAAGTAAATAAAAAAGTAAATAAAAAACTCGATAAATAGTATAATCATTATATATATATATATTTAATATACATATATGTAATATTTTAATTTCCATCTTTTACTCACGCTTACGATGAGGAATGCCAATGAGCAAATCATTATCGTGTTAGATAAAAACTGCAACAACGCGATGTACGTGTATAGATTTTCGACATTCTTCGAGAAATCAATGATTTTCTGATGTTTCTGGATGATTTTGTCCGTTGTGATTGACTCATGCTTCTTTCCACTCTCCTTGGACGCGAAATTTATCAACCAACGATGTAGGATATCCATTTGGCCACCTATATGTAACACCTGAAAAATAAAGAATCCGCGGCCTACAGGAAAATCGTCTCAATTCTCGAATTTATGAAATTTTCCTGAGTATTAGAAGAAAAGAATATCACATAAAAACGCGTGAGTGCAACAAATTCTGTGAGACAGTAATCCTACTTTACACATACAAACTCTTTACCAGATTTTAATATCGTTGGATGGTTTATTGTCATTTATTTATTACCGCTGCAACTGTCGTTCGCGATAATCGCTCATGCGTTCCTTAACTTACCAATGTTAAAAGCAAAGCATTTACAGCACCAGCTGCCCAACTGCACATGACAACGTACACGGTTTGCGTGATTAAAATCATTTTATACGTTCTTTGTGTCTTCACGTCGAAAGGAAGTTCCATTTTATGAATGTAGGGTGGCTCGGACATGCGATCGGTGACATCGATATTGGCCATCATTATGCGCATGCTATATGCAACGGCGCTTAACGTGTGAAGAAGTATCATCGCGTTAGTGATGCGACTCGACAGTTTCGCCTTGCATACCGTTTCATTCATATTGATTTCATTGTCGGCGCAATTGTCCCAGTCTTCCGTCACCATTTCCAAAGTTTTGATGAATTTTCTGTGGATGATTCGGTTCGTCGATTATCCTATCGATCACAAAAAAAAGATTATTTCAAGTTCTTAGAAAATTGTCATCTCCCAAATTTTGCTGGATAACTCTAGGAATATGTTTTAATGTTGTCTCAAAATGTTTTTTATAGTAAATAATTATTTTTTAAATTAAATAAAAA